TATATATATATATATATATATATATATACACATTATATATACATACACATATATAAAAATTTTGTGTGTGTGCATACACACGCACGCGCACGCACACATATATGCATGTGTGTGCGGGTCCATTTGCGTGTGTATATTTAAGGCATATGCACGCACACACGTATGCACACACATACATACATACATATGTATGTATTTTGCCAATAGAAATTACTAAAATTTTCAAGTTATATATACATTTTACAAGCACTCTTTCTGTTTCTCTCTTCTTTGCCAAATACACACATATCACGTTTCTATCTTTTTCTCCATCGCCATCAATTTGTACTTCTTTGGCTGCATTTAGTCGATTCGGTTAAAAAAAGAAAAATAAGCACATAAGAAACGATAAATAAAACGACCGTTATTTTCGAATTTTTCTTAGACACGACAAATTTTTGTACACTAACCAGACCAAATCGTTATCTCAAACCGCTAATAACTGGCAGTCACGGTGACGATAGATAATCGATAATAAAAACCAATAGAAAGGCAATTTAGTGCATCATAATGTACAAACAAGAGAGAAAAGTTAATGAAATTGGCAATCGAATACTTGGAAACGTTTCGACACACACACACATTTTGAGTGTGGAACAATTTTTAACCCGGCAAACACGTCTACTTACCTACGCTCTTCAAATGAATCTCGGCTGAAGTCCTCGTACATGCCTCTACTATAACAGCGGTATAATAAATAATCGAATCTACGAATGATCAAAGATCAATATATACCATACTTGCTCCCTTGTCCAAGGCTTAACTTTGTGAATTAGTCCCTGTATAATGAAATTGCAAGAAAAGTAGTCGCGTGCTGCCTAATATGACTGTTTAGAATGGTTAAAAAATGATTAGGAATAGTTTAGCAAGAAACTATTTCATAGGCAGTTTTACGTTTTTATAATGAAAGAAATAAACGAAGACACTACTATCGACCTAACATGACGAAGACAACGATCAGTGAAAGTAAGAAGAAGAACGCATTTGCAACATAAACAGTTGTCACGAATACGTATATGTAATATATTCGTATACGATATCTGAAGAAACTGTTTATTTATAATTAACTACATTCAACTAGATGTACATCCAATCGAGTAACGAAATATATGCTATATAAATAAATGAAGTATCAAAGAATAAATTGTTTGAAAGAACGCTCACTAACATATGATTGAAAATTGAGATTGCACGAGTTGCGTGCGTTCTCCTAACCAGATATTCGACGGTCAACTATCACCGCTTTAAATTGAACAACCAATTGTTAATTCGATTCGAACCTATTTTCTTATATGTGCTGTAGGTGTGTGTGTTTTTGTGTGTGTAAAACTACACGTACTTAAATTATATCCAGAATATCCGAATGCAAGCAGCAACCAAGTATTTCTATCCGTTTTATTTCATACGAGATACATTTACTAGAAGGGAAACAAATTAATAAATGGACGCGTAATACAAAATTCGCAGCGATAAGAACATGGGATTCCTTTTTAGCCAGTCATATAAGGCAGGCAGCGTTAGACTGGATTTTTAACCCATGCGACTTTTAAGTTACAAATCAGTTTACATAATCAGAACGTAACGAGCCACTTGCAGCCCAGGCTGGGATCATATAGGATAATAAGGTTACATGCAACAACAAATTCAAAGTATTCAGAAAGATTAAGAAATTCAATCAACTCTGTTTTCTATTTGAAAGTTTGCGAATGGATTTACATACATGAAAAGCTTTGAACCTCGTGAGTAGAAGTCAGCTTCAAGAACTATGGATCGTAATTTTAAAGCAAATTCTTCTCTCCCTTTCCCTCTCTCTCTTTCATGCGCGCGCGCGCGCGCGCACACACACACACACACGCGCGCGCACGCGCGCGCACGCACTTTCTCCTCTCTTTCTCTCCCTCGCTCTCTTTGCATAAATTTATGTGTATTTGTTCATGTATATACGTGTACATGTGCACGTATGCAGAGAGAGGTGTGTATATTGTGTGTACACGCGCATTTTCATAGTTTTTTTTAATACATCTCTTCGCATTGATATAGTGATACAAAGGGCCGGGGTTTCATGAAATTTCCACGGATAACTCAATATTATCATTTGATTCGAAATGCAAGTTTTAAATTAATTAACACAACTGTTTGTCCTTATATTTCAATGACAGTGATGTGTAATTACACTAAAATTAAGATTATTAAGACTTCACGCGTAACTAAAATTAGAGGTAAGAAAAAAATTAAAAGAAAACGAATTTACGTGTAATTTCAGTACCAATGATGTGAGGAAACAAATTTTTTACTATAACTAACAAAAAAACGAATTACTTGAATATTTGCACACTTTTTCTGATACTTTGAAACATAAATGTAAGCACCACAACTTGTTTCTCCCTTCTTTCACGTTTTTTTTTCTTTTCATCTAACGTATAACTATCTCGAACGTTGCTCGCAATTTCTTTCCAAAATACGTTTCACAAATTACATTACCCAAGTTTATTGACTATCGAAAAATTACGATTGAAAAGTTGTCGAAATTAGTTTGAATCAAGGATATATTGAAACTGATATACACGAGTGATAGATTGTTTCCGAAGCGTATCTATGAAACTGGCCTTAACAACTATTAGAAACGCCGATATACAAACTTACTGTCCAATGCGTCTGGAAAGCTGGTTTCTACTTACGAGACATTTCAAAGACAATTGATAGGCGCCGTTCCTGATAATCGCGCCAGCCCTTTTATTTTATTTTTTTTTTCTTTTTTTTTTTTCCTCTTTTCTATCTACAACGTACGAGAGTTTGTTAGAATTGTAGGATCGCATCCTGGCTCGCGGTAGTGCGATCAAGAAATCTAGTTCGCATTCCTTAGGAACGTTTCTTCATCCCAGGCCTCCGCGCCACTCCCGGTTGAGTGATGTAAGTAATAAGGAGCGCTTGAAACACAAAGGATTTATGAGAGACATACAGGCCAATCTCGCAGTTAACGCCATGGATCAAGAGAGTCTATGAACAGGGACATCCCTAGAAGAGCAGTCGACATGTTCAAGGTACGATCAGTCGAGACCCGGATTTTGTTGACACCGAGAAAAATAGAAGCTGCTGATGTACAACGCGCCAGCGACAAGAACGAGGTATGACTACTCGCTAACAAAAGTGGTCAAAGACTTACTCTTGCACGATTTGAACGCTGGCCCGGGACTGTCTCTCTAGGGTTGCCCGCATTCATGGACAAAGATGGTACGCAGCCTGAGGTGCACTGAAATTTAGAATGTACAGAAACGTCCAAGCGTCATGATATATATTAGCATTTTATTACACAGACTCTGCACTCATGTGGGCATCGGGTCGACACTCTACATGGCTTGGAACAATATTGATTGCTGTTTCAACTATGCAATGCAACAGACAAAAATTGTAATGTGTAACATATATAATACAATTATAAGTTACATGTTTAATATGTATGCAGATGCTCGTGCATACATACATATATACTGTACTATTTAATTTAGGATAAATGGAAAGAAACTGGAGAGATATGTAAGAATATACAATTGATACTAATTTAATTGCAACGACCAAATGCAAAAGAATTATTTTGCTTTGTATAGAACTGTTTTGCCACGAATAAAGGAATAATCAAAATTTACCCGATGTAACTTGGAAATTATTGCTTCTCTAAAGGGAAAAAAAGGAATAAAAAAAAATTTAATATATACATGAAAGATAAACTTTTAGAAAAATACGAGATCAAGAATCTATAAGAGAAACATGAAAATATATAGAAAAGCAAATATTTTTAAATGTCGACGAATAGCCGAACCCCAATTCGCATGAGCTGTTAATCCAGCCTGGAACGTTCACAATGTTAAGTCGGACGAATGGGCAGTCAATGCATTAGCTCTACTCACCTGAACCGGCCATTGTTGCCACTCGGGGGGGGTGATCGGCGGCTGAACATGCCATACTCGTTACCACGGGAGAAGCCAGTGTCGCGCATGGATCCCATACCTAGAGGAGGCATAGGAGGCATTGGATCTCGTCTTGGGGGTAGAGGTGGCATTGTCATTGGTGGAAAGTCAAGCCCGCACATGGAACTTCCCATGTCACAGGGCCCTGTCATACCCGTAAACCGCCTCTCGTAGAGATCCCTGGTGTCCTCGAAGCCTCTCCTGTCATAGTAGCTTTCGTAATCCTGTAATACAAATAAAAAAGCACGTTGTCATGAATAATTGGTAATATAAATCTCATTCTCTCTTTTATTTTTATATGATAAAACTACTTGTTCTGGCCATTAGTAAGAAAACAACTTACTCCAAAGCGGCCACCACCCATTAACCGATCCCGAAGGAACGGTGGTGGCGGCGGTGGAGGATACGGGTCGCGTCCAAACATTCGGTCTCTGTATCCATTTCTATCCGGACCTCCTCCCATTCCTCCTTTCGGGCATTCCTTGGACCAATGGCCGCCGCGACCGCATCGGTAGCACTGTTCAGGATCTCCCATTCCTGGCCTTTGTCGTACTCTGCTTGTAGAAATTTGAACCTTCATCGGCTGACCATCCACCATTTGTCCATTCAGTTCCTTGATGGCATCGTTGACATCACCTGTTGCTTCTAGATGTACGAATCCATAATTTCTGACAATATCACATTCTACAACTGTGCCATATTTGGCAAAGAGTTCGCGCACTTGGGGTGCTTTTGTATTATCTGTGAGATTGCCAACAAATATTTTTGTTGTTGGGGTATTGGGGCCTTTACGACTCTTTGCAGCCTCGCATTTAATTGGCTGCCCATGGACTATATGTCCATTCAAATTTTGTATTGCATTCCTCCCTGCTTCTTCATTTTCCATATGCTGTTGAAAATGACATTGTAACATATTTGTTGTGTTAAAAAAATTGTCAAGTTTTAGGACAAGATGATATCATCTAACAGAGTTAGATAGGGGCAAAGAAGAAAAAAAAAATCAAATAATAATTAAGGATAAATGTTATATAAAATAAAAAAAAACTTACCACAAATCCATAATTTTTGACCACGTCACATTCTACAACCTTCCCATATTTTTCAAACAATGGTTTAATGTCAGCATTTGATGTCTTATCGGCTAAATTACCGATGAAAATTTTAAATGTGCCAACGCTACTAAAACCCGGCATTTTCGGCTCGTTCTAGAACCTAGGTCCAAAAACAAATATTTTCTATATTACTTGTTACTAATTAATATAGCCTTTCCACGCGTTGCATGTGCCAAGATTAAATAAATACGACATATCTAACAACAAACATTAGAAAATATATATACTAGGATATTCGTTGTTCATTATTTGCATTTGTTGTAACACAATTAAGTTAACATACGTCACTCAACATTATGCTGTACCACGTATTTCTACGTATAGTTGACTTGCTGCGTCAATGTGCTTCTTATACGTATTACATACTAAAATATAATATTTGCAACCTTTATTCTATCTAATCAACATTAAATCAAGATACGTGACTAAGATTACACTAAATTTCTAAAAACTTATAATTGATATTTAGTGGTGACGCGATTGTTTAGATTCCCCCTCTAGTGCATACATTTTTCCACCATTTTGCTAACGATCTAACTTTTCGAATTTCGAAGGTCATAAATTCTGCCGAAATACTTAACTTGTATATTAGAATATTACGAAATAAAATCAATCACGTAATTTCTGAATATAGAATAAATCACTTCTCCTAATTTCTATTTCGATGAGACAACAAAAACGTACACAACTTCGACAAGTATGTATGTTAAAAAATACGTAGTACAGAGAGCGTACCGACCTTGTCGAAATGGCGCACGCATTCTACGAAATATGTATGTTGAAACGATCATCTCTTAATTATCATGTACAAAATGCACTTAAACACCATATTTATTCTTGCACTCACCGAAGCTTATTGCGTATTAATTTTAACGAATGATATAATCAACGCTGCTTTTAGGCACACGACTTAACACAAGAGAACGCAATTTAACAATGGCGTCTCAGTTGCCGCGTCCGCTAATGTCCGAGATGCTGAAGTAGTGGCCCCTATCGGAAAACTGCAGCGAACCGTGAGAACAGCGTGTCCGAAAACTCATCATGAACATATCACCATCAAGAGTATTTTGTAAAATACAAACAAATTAACGCGGGAATTATTTCTATGCTATACTATTATTATGCTTGTTAATAATGTTAATATTATATTTCATTGCTCCTGGAACGGGATAGATTAAATTTCCATTCTTGGAGCATACTATATAGACCTATTCATACATAATATCGAAATATTAAAACATATATGTATTAAAAAGTATGCACAATGTACGAGTGGTGTTAACTATATTTCAACAATAACTTTTGTTCGTCATAAATATATAATTACTCCAGTATTAAAATGCTGCTTTTAATTATAAATGCTTATAATCTCAAAACTTTGTATTTTGTAGAGAAGTTACAAATACATGAAGAATCGATACTATTATACAAATTATTACTCTCATTATTAAAAATACATTTTTGTATTATTTTTATTACTGGAATATTATTGGAATAATCTGTAAATAGATTTAGAAATGTATGTTAAAATACAGATTGATATGTTTATAATTTTCGTCACACATGATTAATTTCCGAGTTAAATTTTTAATATATATTATATTTTATATAAAATCGGCATACAACGCCGATGGGAAAAATGATCAAAATAGATGGAAATTAATTTTCGTTGAATAAGTAACGTACGGTAACGTAGACCGTATGCAACATGACTTGAAATATCCTTTCCTTTCTAACTAACATATAAAAACAATTTCATGATAAATACATCACATACTACCAAATATTAGTCTGTTTTTACATTTTATTAAAAGCTAAACTAGATATTTGTAAATTTACACTACTTTGGAACTCAACAAACGCGGAATGGCGTGCTCTGGGTATCTTTGCGTGTCGACGCTACAGGCCATAACTATGTAATCTGCTTATAACTATGAAACTGTTTCTTTTTAATCTATATGCTATTTTTAATTAAGAATAAATTATGCATGAAACAACAAAAAATTACTAAAATACTTACCAAGTCAGTATCTTCTTAAAACAATCCGATAAAATGCAACGCCAAACCACACGCTATGCTCTGTAAAAAATGGCGGATCGAAACAGACCGGGAAGTGGAAAGCGGCGTCTCTTTCGATGTAAAATACAGACTGACCAACTGATGAAAATGAAATGTTCTATTATTATTCAAATACTAATGCAAAATTACTAAATATGTTTACACATGTTCGACGTGTGATATACTACGTATTAGTCAATAAATTTAATCATATTATAATTTGTACAGATTTATGCATTTTAAATTTCTAAATTTTATATATTTTCTAGTGGGAACAATATAATTTATAACAATGTTAAATTTCTTTTATTTTATTTTCAATATTTTATTCATATCCGAAAGAAATAAAATTTATATATTCTGAATTACGTATTCCTAAGGGTATCCGCAAATAACATTCATCATTATCATGATCTAGTGGTTAAAATGGTTTCTGTTACTTTTACGCTACATTATTAGTATTATTATCCCGTTTTTAATTATTTTACAATTCTATCACATTAAGTCTATATTGATTTTGTATTTATGAAACTATGTGCATTATAATAATCAATATTTATATGTTTGCATATTATCTAAAATAAAACTTATAAAACGTAAAATTCCCTTGTGTTATAACCGGTTTTAGTTAATTAAATAATAAATACAATAACCCGTATGAAATATGTACCCAGAATAAAATAGTAAATTTAATACTTGTTAAAAATATAAATTTAATTATTTGTAATTAACCGTTAGCTACAATTTTAATGTAGTTACAATTTACTTTTCTAAAAATCTTAAAACTTAGACATTACTTATCAGTCACCAAACAATGACTTCTATCACGCATTATGTTGTATGCAACAACGATCCGAAAGAAATTATTCGTTCAAAGCTTGGACAAATAATTTGGTAATATAATAATAATTTCCTGATAATTCTCAATGTAAATTCATATAATTTATAAAACCTATAAACGTTACCGGTACGCTAATCCGCTACGTGGAGCAAATCTATACATTTATATTTTCATTAAAATAATATGGAATTATATAAAATACTTCCACGAATAAAATTGCACTTGTAAAATATAGTTTCGAAATCCGAGAATATATTTCTAATCGCCCTTGAATAAAATAGTATCTCATTTGTTAACTTAAAGACATAAATTATGTGCTATAACATATACATAATACAAAATTGTATAAAGAGACAAAGAATTTAATATAGTCAACACAACGGAAAACAATATTAGTAAAAAATAATTTTTCTATCTTAGAATTTATTAATAAGCGTAGTAAAAAGATTTATGGAAACTCAATATCAATAAAGTTTATCTCGTACTCTGAGATATTCTAACATATAAGAATATTTCAAACATTTATATTTTACAATCACTACACATTTTATACGTTTTCAACGTACAAATCGTCGTTAGATGACTATATTTATAAACGATTTAAAATTCCATATCCTGCAAGATCTCGATTCGTGACTAAAACTGTCGTCGTAGTAATAATGTACTTTTCGATGACAATTCTTTGAAAGGCATGAAAATATATATAAATACGTTTCTATTAACGATGGGAGTTCAATATGTATGAATTCATGGATAAAAATTGCATAGATGAGATAAATTTAAATGCTATCATCAAAAAACTTTTTGTTCTTTCTGTTTTTGTAGATTTTTACTGTTGAATTTACTTTAAATATTTCCCTTTCTTGTTTATGCGTGTTTAAACCTTAGAATACTTGCATCTTTTCTAGGCTGAAAAAAAAGATAAAATTATTCATTCTAAGTAGTAGCCATCGTTGATTACACATTCAATAAATTTTAACACAGTGAAGCACGCTAAAACATTGACATTATCATGTTTCATTGCATTTCACTTAAAAACAAAGATATACACATATACAACACTCATTCATAATTTTGTTCTTTTTGACTCACAACTGATCATCTATTCGATTATACAAATTCGCACATTCATACGGATTTATGTAGTTTTAAATCTTAATATTCAGTCTTCAGGCTTGCAGTCTGTCAATAAATCTATGTACACCGGGTTATTTACAAGGGAAGAAATTATTTTTCAGCTACTAGCGGTAAGATAGAACACATCCGACGAATATTATCGAACGCTATACGATTTTAATAGCATTATCAATATGTAATTTTGATATTGTCTTTTTTACGCGTAGTGCTGTTAAACGAACGGCTGGATTCGCATGCCAACACTCGGCTATAAGCTTACTCAGCGCAAACAGGATCTGCAACAAAACCCAAGTAACTGACTTTAACATAATTGTTAAAACGAGGTACCTTCATGTAGAAATATAAACCTTACCGAATCATTTTCCCATCGCGCTGGTATTATTGGACGTAACCGTTTTACGCAAACTGCTAGTCGCATGTCTTCAAAATCTGGGTCACTTGGAACAACATCATGGTATGGTAAAGCATATGGTTCTACCATAGAATTTTTACCACCTGTAACGCATTTTCTACAAGCTTCCCAAAGTACAAGACCAACAGAATACATATCTGCCATTTTGAAAGCATCAAATGATGATGCATTTAATGTTTCATCTAACACTTCTGGAGCCATATATCGACGAGTACCCACTCGTGTATTAGGTGCAATATCAATTTCTCCACTTTCACTGCAAGTAGAACAATCCTATATTAATATTATAACTTATACATGGTGCAAGTATTCGATAAATATTCACTACCATCTTTCCATTCTTGTGTATAAACAAAGCAAACACGCGTGTATTTGTGCAATTATCTTCAACTCTTATCATTATAGTATTTACTATTTACCTTATATATCTAACTGCTAAGCCAAAATCGGCAATTGCACATTCACCATTCTTCTTTACCAAAATATTTCTACTCTTGATGTCTCTATGAGCTATAGCAGGCTTTCCACGTGTACCAAAAATCTCTGTGTGAAGATGAGCAATTCCAGATGCAATTGAAAGACATATTGCTAGAAGGCTAGGGTGATCTAGAACCGTAGTTTGTAAATAATCATATAAAGAGCCTCTTTCATGATAATCCGTAATCAATAACATTTGTGTCCAAGATCCTGTGCCTTTAATGTCAGCCGCAATGAAACCCAAAATATTATCATGTCTCATTAACACTGTCTGATAAATTTCAGTTTCCCTAAACCAAGATGCTTCTTCCAATGTAAAAAATACTTTCACTGCCACTTTCTCCCCTCTCCATCTTGCAAGCCATACTTCACCATAACGTCCCTTGCCAACACACTGAGACAATGCTAGTTGCTTGGCAATAGTTCGTTGTACCAAGAGAGGTAATCCTGATCCGGAACCACTACTTTGATCGATAAAGTCTTTAAGTGTTCCCTGTGAAGGCACTAAGCAAGGACCTCTTTCTTTCCTTCTATATCTGTGATATATGATCACCATAGCTATTGAAATTATCATTAAGCATATAGACAAAATGATAGCCAATATTATAAGTGATGCACCTGATGCTATGGCCATAGGATTAGGTACTGTCGTAGTTCGAGGTTTATATTCAGGATATATGTCTTTGTTACATAATGCACTCTTGTTGCAACATATTATGCTTTTGCCTTGTAAATTTGGTACAAGATATCCTTTGCACTGCATGAAACCTTGCTCGTCTGGTGGTAAACAACCAAATGACCATTCTGGTACATACTCTCCTGATTCTGCATCCCAAACTTCTTCTACTGCACTGAAACAATGACCACCAGGTCTGCCTTCACAAGTACCATTTTGTCGATCATCTGGACAATGTCCTTCACAGTAACAGGTAATTCCCAATGCTGAAAAATGAAAAATGAACTTGACGTTATAATTATCATCAAGCTAATTTAACGAACTGTTCAGTATTATTATAATTATGATTTCATTCTTGACATTCGTGCATATTATTAACCTCAACAATACAAGAATACAACACACTGATTTTATATATATGTTAGATATGAGTTGTAATAAAAATTTAAAGAATCAATAAAAATGAAAAAGTTATGATTGCTAAATTTAAGTAAAAGCAAGATGAATGTATAACAAATGTTCATATTTTTTTTTGGCTGCTTTAAGAAAATAGAGGAAAAAAATATTCTGTATATATTTATGAATGGTACATTCATATTTGAAACACTAATAATTAAATTTATTTAAGGTAAGTGATTTGAAGATAACTGTAATCGTAATTATAAATTGTATTTGTAAGAAATACAATGGCGATCAGAGACAATGATTCTTCTAACTTTCTTCATTATCATCTCTATCTGAATGACAAATAATAATTTAATTTTTTACAACTGCAAAAAAAAGTAAACAAAACAAAACAAAACAATATGAATGTATTGCTGGAAAAATACGTTTCAAAAAGTTTATTAGAAATGTAATTTTAATGATATTTGAAAATATACAAGTACAAGCAAATATAAGTTTCAAGTTATCTACCATGTGCGTATTTGAAAAATACGTATATTGTTGGCTAAGTTAAAGGGAAGAGAAGAGCGGAGATGAAAAAGAAAAGGAGAAACGTAGAAGAAAATGAAGGAAAAAAATAATTCTAATAATTCAAAATTTTATAATTCGTATTATATAGAAGAGTTAAAAATTAATTAGTGGTCTATATCTTTTGAGGAGTATAGCTTTATTCAAGTTATTAATTAAAAAAGTAATTATATTATATTAATTAATAAAGTAGATATTTAATACAAATAAAGTGATAAGAAAATTGGTAAAAAAACACTTGTCATAGAATCGTTATTCCATTGTTAGCTTACTTTGACATAATGATGAAAGAAATTTTCATATATTTATATAATTCGAATGGTCCAAAGTTTCTATAAAAAAGGAACAATAGCTGAAACGTGAAAAGTTGAAGAAAACAGAAATAATTGGGTAAAACTGTTCATCTTTTACCAGTAAAGACCTACATAGTTACTTTTGATCTTCAAATATACGAATAAAAGATTAATTTTTCCCATACCTTTTCTAATTTCCATCTTTATAGGGATTCTTATTCATTTTCGTAAAAATCGTACGTTACTCGTAAACTAAAAAAATATATATTAACATTTTAATTGAATTTAAAAGTAACGAACAATAAAATTTTTACTGAACTTAAGGTTTTCTTGATATTAGAAAGAGGAAGAAATTTGATGTAGAAAAAGGGAGAAAGGGGGGGGGGGGGTAATTATAGAATTTTATGTTTTTATTGACGAGAAATTATTGCCCCCTTTATCCCTCACTGAACATTCAAATATTCATAACAACGACAATTCAATAACATTTTCGGCCTAACTTGTATTTTTAATTTAAAAAACACGTCTCAATGTTACATTTATTCTAGACTTAAACTGAAATTTTCTAAAGACGTATGTGCGTTTCCTAACAGTTTTTTGGCCTACGGTATAATATAGCCGTATATGCTGATCGTACCCCACAAGGATATCACTGATACATGATTATCCGACAATCTCCAAGAGAGGTAAACATGCTTTACAATAATATCCATATGTGGACTCGATTATGCGGTTCTCTTACTCTTGTTTATCTGGCAAAAATGTCAAAGAAAAATCTTACAATCAATAACGACGAATATATATTTCATGTAGATAGAGATTATCCGACAATTCGACATGATTCGAAAAATGTCAAGATCATAACGTCCTCTTCAGTTAAATGGATCTCGATAGATCACCATTAATAACACAACATTTCACCGAGACACGATATTTATTTCCAATGCGCAAAAAAGAATAATATTAATATTAAACGAATATAGAAATATTCAACATATACTTGAATATTTGAAAAAGTGTAAATGAAAATTAGTTATTGTTTTTTTTATGCTTGCTGCATTTATAAAATTATATGGAGAAATGAAAGTGTTGCGTTGTATTTGTGAGATTTGCAATTTATAGAATTCTGAAGTGAAATTATACATATCTATATACCGAATTATCATCAAATGATAAATCCGTACTATTGTATTTACGTCTAATTAAATTTCTTAAATTTTTAATCAATGTAAAATAGGCATACGAAATAAAATTCATAAATTTTCTGACACACCTTATAAATTAAAAATATAATATTTATAGTCACTAGTTTACAAGGAGCACATATGTATACCTCAATTTCATTCATAATCCACGCAATTGCAATCACAAATTATGTGATCCTATTTATATGCGATTAAGATTTGAGATGCGCGAATTAGATGAAAACGTTTTCCATCTTGTAAATTAACAATACGTTGATAAGTGATATATGATTGTATATGCTATTTTTTAATCATCGAACAATTTTTGACTTTTATTTTTTATCGCCTATTTAAAAATGCGCTGGTTTGTAAATTAGAAAAATGTAACAATATGTTCTCAACTGGCGCAGCATATTTACCCCAAGAGGGGGAAATGGTTGTTTCGTTCAACAAGAGGTGAACTGCTCAACACGTTGAGTAATATCATATGAATATCCTTTTCCGGAAGAAACAGTGATCTAAGATTAATATTAAATTTTGTTAGTATCGACAGTATATCGTGTGAAATTTGCAAGAAAAATTCATTGACAAGGCAAATGCAAAATAGATGTAAATAAATCCTGAGGTTAATTAATTATTTAATTAATCAATTCGAATCATTTGTACTTGACAACGCAAACATGTATGATAACAAAGAAAATGCAACTAATCGAGACGGAAAATGTTAAAAAGATATATCAATCTAGCAAGCATAAAATAAATATAAATATTTATATAGTCGATTTGTGAAATATTTCGAGACCATAGATTTTTTCGCTTTATCGCTATCTATAAATCTATATTAGAAGAATAACCTAAGATTAATGATAAGAACGATGCAACATGAAACGAAAAGAGGAAAAGAAAAAGAACGGAATTTGTACAGCGTTTAGAGATTGTGTAACACAGAACCTGAATATGACAATAATCCATACTAACCTGACAATTTGTTAGAAGGAAATGGATAAATTTACAAAGAAGAAATTGGAAAACGGTGATCCTTGAAGAAGCAAAATCGGCGACGAAAAAAATGAATCTGAATCGGAGTTGTGGAGAATGATACTAGACGGAAACGTAATATAACCACGCGTGAAATGATCACTCGAATATGGTGCGAGTCACGTGAAAAAAGAAAAAGGAAGGAAAAGTGGGAAATGGTTGAGGGAAGGGTACTGCTGTGAGGGAAACTTTAGAAATCACAAAAGCAACGAAACGTCGTTAGTATTTCAGTCCCTAACCTTAACACCTAACCTCCTCGTTTCATTTGTCGCTCATTTTCGTTCTCTTCTTCTCTTGCTTCGATTCAAGGGTAAGAAAAAATGCGTGCTACTTCGATGTAAGAAGTTCTTCTACAAAAATATGTCGTATAGCGAATCACAGACTACGTACAGGCGACATCGAAACTTCCGTTTTTTTATGAAAATAAAAATTTGTAAATATGCAATAAAAGCAAAACAAACATATATAAAAGTATATGAAAAAGTTTGTTGCAAGTTTCACAGAAACACCATATTCATTATTCATTTTGTTTTCACATAAGGAAACATCTTAAATCGTGTTAAAAACACAAAAATAAGAATGAACTGAAATTCTATCGTACTACAACCTTTCGCTACTTTGCAAAAGCTATGCATGTGTTTATAGTCAATTTGTTTAGAGAGAAAAGAATTGTAGAAGTACCATTAATCAGAATGAAATCGAACAAGCGAAAGGTGACGAGAGGAAGAGAAACGCAGGAGTCGAAGAGAGAAGAGGAGAGAGAGAGAGAGAGAGAGAGAGAGAGAGAGAGAGAGAGAGAATGTACATTTGTGTAGGAAAAGGCAAACAATGGTTAACAGCGTACATGAGTCGTCCTCGCGTCAGGAATCCGCATCCGATCGATTCTTTGATACATTATACACCGTGTATTTAACGCTTTACGTGAAACACATTTTGTACGTGTAGTAGTTAAATGGATGAGGAGTATACTCACCACAAACAAATTTTGCAATAAACACACCGAAGCTGATCCACAGGCCGTATTTACATTCGTGCCGACCTGGGGTAGCGAAGAGCGCAGCCATTTTCTACATTCGAGAGCACATACTTTACTGTGACGTAGGACGAGACGCGTCGGTCGCAAAGCGCAGGCTGATCAACTTCGGGGCTTTTCGTCTTTCTACGGAAGGAACTGACAGCTTATTGGAGAGTTGGTTGTAGCACTTCGGCTGTTAAACAAAGACAACAGCTTAAGATTATCTAAAAGAAAGAAACAAAGATATATTCGCGTATCAGCGGTGTATCCTTAATTGGTGGTACCCTATGATATAATTCGTGTAAACGAATAGTAATCGACTTATTAGACAAGTAAAAAGAAAAGAATGAAGCTGATGAACGAAAATCGTTACAAAGAATATCGTTAACGGTTTAAATCAAACTGTCATTCTCTTCTACCCATATTTCTGCTCATACATACGTTTTTGTATTGTTATCAGTTTCATGACATATTGTTTATCGCCATATAGAAAATGCGTATATTTATAGAATTTGAGGCATTTAATTTGGTTGATAATTTAAAATCTTATTCAAAAACATTAAATTTGATATTATGATCATGGTATTTTATTGTTTTTTTAATTCTAATTTACACAGTTTTTGTCCTTTTTGCTCTATAATATACAAAAATAAATGAAGTTAATATCGTGTTAAAATTCTTGAAATTCTTATAATAATATAAGTTCTTTGTATTGTCCGTAAGTAGTATTTGATACTCGAAGCTACGCACCTGTTCTGTCATCGTAGCTAGTAAGGAGTGTGCGACGGCGCCCATAGGGCGCCATCGTGCCGCGACGACTACAGTTTCAGAGATATTTCTCTCTCTCTCTCTCTCTCTCTCTCTCTCTCTCTCTCTCTTTTTCTCTCTTTTCCTCTTCGTCGACTTCATGTTCATAGTAGTGATGCTTCGGGGAACGAATCCGTAAAGAGTTGTAAAGAAGTCCAGGAGGAAGAAGGGCAAAAGCTTTTGAATGATAAACCCTATTCTCGAATTTATTCATTTTTTTCACCAAACGAGATGCAGCTAAGTGTAGACGATAAGAAAAGATCACGTAACATTTCATTTTTATATTATTTATTTATTTTATGTTATTATTTCTATTTTTATGTTAATTACTACGTATGCACAAGTAGATATCGGGAAAGATCGATTTACAGATACTGATTAACTATTGGTCTAACAAAAGTAAAAAAAGTCGAAATGAAAGTACGAAGTAAAGGGTGGTGGAGAAGTAATGTGAAAAGAGTTGACTGGAATGATAAAGAAACACGTTATACATTACGTTTCGGAAGTAACTTGCATTCATAGTGTGAAATTCACGCTTGTGCAGCAAAGTTTCAGTAATCGAGGCATTTAGGAGTCGTCGTGAGGGTGTTCATCATACCTAAGATTTTGAACCTTTAAAAGTATTACAAGAATAATAATTTTTAAAGTTACGTATGTATATTATTGCGAATATAGAGCGAGTATGTCGGTTATTACGATTCTTCTCTTCGCTGTATTTGCAATTGTTTTTAAAATTAAACATCAGTAAGATTTCTGACCGACACTATGCCATTTTATTCATCTCCGTTTTACCCATTTTCAAATGTTCTAATATCTATCGTCTATAGTTTCGAAATGCACTTGTGCATTTATAAGAAATATAAAAATAAGAAATTATTTGACATATTCTATCGGCTAATGATCGGCCAATGATCAGTTGAACATTTAACCGGGAAATATAGAATTTGAAGGTGGCAATAAATATGAAAATGAGACGTGTGAATTTTGAAATAGGGAAAAGAAGAAAAGACAGCGTAGATATCGTAATATCGTATAATTGTGAAATGCAGACTATAAGACTATAAGGATCAAACCAGGACAGAAACTATCGGCTTCGTTGATCAGTTTATTAATCGACCGTCTCGCTGAATCTTTCGATTCCGTAACGTATACACTGATTTATACGGTAAAGCGATAATCGTAACAGTCATAATAAACAAACCAATAGTCAATGGTCCACCGCTATAACGTACTGTTAATAGAGTTGTTCTGGCCGTATGTATGTAATGAAGAATACCTTCTAGATATAAACAGATCTAATAAAACACAATATGATGCGATTTACGACGAACAACTACAACCAAAAAGAGGCATATAGATAATCGATAGTTGGGAAAGATCCATGCAAACTAGAGTATTTAGGTACAACGAGGTCTTGGAATCCGATAAATCACACTAGGATTAAAGTCGATTATCTTTATGTCGATAAATCTATATACATACATATACTTTCCTACGAATCCTTACTCATCATTCATGTTGATAATAAAATGTGTTCGTCTCGTGCACATATACGTATTCTTGCTTATGGTATGGAGTTAATTTGAGTCGACAACGATGTTGAATTGATAGGATAACAATAAAATAGCAAAAGATAGAATAGCAAAATAATGTTTTAAAACGCATTGAAATCGTTTTGGTCGTGTTTCTAAACATAACGGTCTAAAGGACATAAGAAAGCGACTTGTAGATAGATATGCGGATAGGTCTGCCAAGATATGCATATGTATCTCTATATGTATAACTAGTATACACCAAACCAAGATATTTCTTATACAATATCAAATCGACTAAGTAACGAGCTTAATTTTACATACGCTACTAGATACACGTATGGTACAAAGCCAACGTTTTACGCAATTTTATACGCGGTATCACCATTATCACGATCTACTGCAAGAATTTCATAGGTAAATCATGATTGAATAAACTGTTGATTACTTAAACTTTCACTATACTTGGAGTCAAATAGTTATGATAATGGCGACGATGACGATGATGATGTAGTAGTAACGATAGTAGTAGTAGTAGTAGTAGTAGTAATTAATTGTATTGAAAAGAATGAAAAAGAAGGAAAATATAACGAAGGAGAAATGAATTTGTTCAATTAGGAGTCATATTAGACTACCTCTTGCGAGATAACAATTTTTTCTTCTTCGGCAAAACGAGTGCCTCGTGTACCCATCAGGGATAACGATATCTTTAAAACCGGGTTGTTATCGCTAAAAGTCAGGTGTGTACCAGGGCCACCAGTGCTCGATCAAAGCAAATCTGCCGCGTGACTCGATTCAAAAACAAACGATAAAGCAAAATCATTGAAAAAATCCTTTACTTCCTTTCAACCATTGCAACTCAACCTTTTTTCTTCTCCTCTGATTCATATCTTTAATAAATTCAATTACAAAGTTTTCATTTAAAATTTATGGTTTAATTTCTTTTTGTGCCCTTTCTCCTCTTTCCATCGTCAACTTTCTCTCGAAGAAATATATATTTATATATCGTATGTATCACGTAAAATCACTCCATACTTTATACAGGTGGAATCGTCGATGTATAGTTGTTCTTCGAAGTGATAACCTATACTACGTATATTGGTAAGAAAATGATCAAATTACGTTCGGTGCAATCAGCAGAGTTAACACCTTTCTTATAAAATACATCGCAATGTTCGATAATGATCTGTATTTTTTATAAACCTTTCTGTACATCTAATCTTGATTATCGTCTGAATCTCGATTTTCAGCAATTTATTAGATTTTTCAAGGCGTTATAATGAACTTGCAGAGAAAGTGTAATATTCGAAGTAGGAAGTGTGATATTTATTTCATAGAGATAAGGGTATATTATACGCTAGCTACGATCCTGGTACACTTCCAGACCGTATTCAGAGATGCGAAGGATGAAGGTGAGGCGCGAGGGCAGGCACCTATAACAAAGATCCATCGAAACCGGTTTTGTGTTCTGCTCTTCTTTTACATTCCCCACACGGTCCCTGCCGAGTCACGGGTGTGAAAACCGACACCCACCCCTACTTGTTATTTTGTCAAAATAAAGCCCTGTGAAAATTATAGGAATCATGCATCATCATCAAGTCGCTCTCGCTCTCTCTCTCTCTCTCCCCCCCTCTCTCTCTCTCTCTCTCTCCTCTCTTCTCTCTTCTCTTCTCTCTTCTCTCTTCTCTCTCCCCCCCCCTCCTTCTACCCCTTTTCCCTTCTTCCTCCCCCTCACTCATTCGCTCACGCCCTCCTTCCCATTCCAGCCCTTTGCTTTTTATAATTTTACTAAAATTACAACAAAAATAATAGAGTTACTATATGATAAAAGTTAAAATAAGTTAAAAATGTGGCAGAGCGTTTAAACTTGTGAAACTGTATTTGTTCGTTCTTTTAAAGAAATCTGTTATATTGACACAGGGTATTAACCTCTCGGTTGATAACAATGATTTCTTTTCCAGTGTGCGAACTCGCACAGAAAAGAAATGAAAACATAAAGCAAAGAAAAAATAAATCTGTAACCCAATGGTGCTTTTTTGCCATCGTTCAAGGGTGTGCCGTTCATTTTACCATTTAAGCAATTTCTTCCTTCTTTTTTAACATTGTTTAATGTTTAATGCTTCTAAACATTATTCTAGGATAAAAGGTAGACGTTGCAAAGTGATACCGAGCTGATAGGTTCTAAAAATTATGCTCTCTCAGTTTTGTTTAGACTTTTCCAAATTATCATTGGACCTTTCGAATATTTCGAACATATGTATATCGAAATAAAGAAATATTATCTATAAGTAAAGATAAAATCATTATGAAATCATTGTAGTAGAATTGCTGTTACATCTTTGTAGGATGTCGAGAAATCTGAAATTCTATTTTCAGAATAAGTAACATTCATTTAAAAAAATGAAATGAAATGTTTGTTATCTTATTTCATAAAAAAAGAACGGTATATATTCGTTATAGTTGATTGTAATTAATAATTAAGTTTGTACAACATGTTTGTTCACACGTTTAATAGGTTTAGAGAAAAAACTTCATCGATGTGATTACTTTGCAATTATAAAATGTCTTGTACTATACCTTATCTGTATTTTACAATTACACTTATTGTTAGCGGTTAACCCTAACCGCTACTAATATGTTTCGCTACCATGTTTCGTGCTGAATCGGTAACGAACATCGAAGAGGTATACTATAGGTAAAATAATAAAAAAGTCTGCAAGTCCTGAAATCATAGGATGGAATTGTCGAGTAAAACAGATTTATTTTAAATAGAGCCTGCGATTATTCGATGACATAACGCTTGACATAAATGCACGCACGGATGTACTGACGCATGCGCATACATACAAAGGGAATACCGAAGAATTCTGTTTCATATTTCATATGTCTCTTAATCGTCGCGATAACATTTTTACGTAAACTCGCGAAATCTGTTTATATATCTGACATGGGTGAAAATAATGAATATTCTCGAAATAATAGTAAACGAGATAAAAAATTATTACACAATTTTCCCTTGCAAGCATATGAACGATCCTACTGCTCTAACAGAAAAGTAAATATTTTGCATCTTTTCTTTATTGACAAATGCTACACAACATATTCGACTATATTTATCGTTATTATTGAATTTCTTAAATCGTTAATCAACACTATAGAGCAACGCAACATATACGACATCCAAAGAACAAGATTATTTGAATGAAAGGAATATTTTCGATATATTCCATTTTCTCCTCTCTCATGTCATCATCCGACAACCAACGAATCCAATCCAATATCTACATGAACTGCTCGATGACTTTATATTATTTAAGTCGAAGCTTAAAAACCCACGATTACTTTGGACCGAAAGGTATATACGTATGTATGTATGTATACACACGTGCATATACGTCTGTAATATTTGAAAATATTTGATGTTTATTCGTTCGTTTGTCAGGCACGTTCACGCCATATTCGAAAGCGTTCTTCTCTATAGTTCCGAACATTTATCGTTGGATACTTATAAAAATGCTATGAGAACATTGGGTGTACATTGTTATGATCCTTGTCCCATTCAAATTATTCCGGGATACATCGATTGGCAAACATTTTGTTCAGAGGCGTAAGAAATCACTTTTATCTTGTATTGTCTGCTAGCTAAAAAAAACTGCAACATGTACTATGTTGCATTCGCTATGCGTTGTATCGTTTTATAAATTATTCTTTAATAACATATACTACGAATTAATAAAGGATAAACACACGAAACATGAAACAGGAAACAAAAACTTATGAATACATTATAAACATATGACACAGAAAGAGAAGTTTAATTTTCCCTTTCCTTTCTTTCTTTTTTCCAGATTGAAAAATATGAAAGAGAAATTGAAACGGATCATGGAAGAAAATACCCGCTGAATATTTAAAATTTTAAGATGTCAACGAAATTTTAAGATGCCTATGAATGTTGTTCTTGTATAGTTATAAATCCTTATAGAATTGTTACAGTGTAATTAATATCTCGATTGTAACGATATCGATAATTTCAGTTTCGGTTGAAATTATAATTAGACAGAGAGTACTTTTTTATCAAATAAATTCAAACGTGACAAAAAATGTTGAGCTTCTTGAGTGCACTAATTCATTTATTTTTCTTTCCTTTCTACGATAATCATTTCTATTTCATTCTTGTTTCAGTTTTTTTTTTCTTTCTTATTTTTACAGAACACTCTACTACATACTTAATAATATGAAAGTCAATAGTTTTCATAAAATAACTAATATTTTCATAGAATAACATAAGGCAAAATACAATATCTTATAATTAAAATCACTTCGATTATCATCTCCTTTTTATCTTTTCTGATTCGTTAACTTATTTCTTACTTTACATAAATATCTACTTTATACTTGTCTGAATAACTGTATACGCATTATACTTTTCCAATTATGTAAATATAAAATGACAAAATTTCAAAAGAAAGAATTTACATTTAACGATGAACATTGCTTTTAATTATCGCAATGATAATTGTATCTTTTGAAAAAATGTATTTCTTTTTTTAATAATATCACAACCAGCGATGTATTCTTATTTTATAGAAGAGGTGTAGTAACAAAAGGAAGCGAAACCGAAACGAGAACAGAGGCATAACGAAGCCACTCGAAGAGTCAACTAGAAAGAGAGAGGAGAGAAGGGTGAGAGTCAACAGACGAAGCAAGTCGAGGTAAAACGAGTTGACTCGAGTCGAAGTGGACTCTAACGCGCATGGTAAAGGACGTCAGACTAGAGAGAAAGTGACTGAGTGAGCGAGCGAGCAAGCGAGCGTGCGACGAAACGACATATAGTTCGAAATAGTTGTGCACAAGTTGTGTAAACGGTGTTGGAGCACGCGTAGATAATCAAACCGTTCAGGGTTCACGTGTGGTTAAATTTTAATACGGTACAGGAACAGACCTTTCGATGCATTCAACGGGAAGCATGATCCTTCGAATGTTCTCTGCCTCGTTTGTCATGTGTACACGATCATGCAGTCGCGCGATTCGAAGACGCAGTGTAGAAACGAGAGCGAATAGTTTATATCAGTGAAAGAACGTAAGGACATTTCGAGTTTATCAACCATTTTCGGTCAACGTTTCGCCTCTAATTTCATTTTTCAGCACTAGGCTATACTTACGTCATTATGCCGTTTACATATGTATTTTCCAATAACAACGCTGAACTTTGGCACATGTATTGCGCTTTCTCGTAACGGCAATGGAATCGCGTTAGAAGAGTGAAATATTAAAGATTTGAAGAAACAGGAACTTTAATTCGTTAATTCCACCATTTTTATACGTATTCGCATAAACTCTCTTTGACACAATTTTAATTTTACAACTGGTAGTGTATCGTATAAAAAAATATACATGCGCCATTCTACCTGTGAAATTATTTAAAAGAACCTAACGATGTTGGGAACATGTAACATATACTATCGTGACTGTAACAAACGAAATCAAGTCTGGACCTTAATAAGCATTGGATGGTAAAAAATTGTATAAAGTGGAAATGCGATTTCGAGAATGTATTGAAATTTAATCGAAACAATACAAAATTACGAAAAATGAGAACACTTATGTGTATGGTTTGTTCGGTGCTTTTACTATCTTTACTGCTATTCATTAGCATCGTGTCATCGGCCCCTTCCTATGAACATATTGCCCTCCAAGCTGCTGACCAATGTGATTGGATTGGAAGGTTAGTATTCCTTGTTATATTCTTGATTTCCATTAATACATATATCAATTTTATGCAATAACTTTTATACGTTACTGTACCAATACAGTTGCATTCGATATTCTCCTAACAGTTAACATTATGTACCCGTAGAAATATGATTTTCTTTACAAGACAATTTTATCCTTTACAAAACTTCTTTCTAATGGTTACATTCCATCCGCGTACACATATGTATTTACGTACATATTCTTCTTTAAATTCCACTCGGTAACGGGGAACGGAACCGTGCATATAACACATACAAAACCACACGCGCGCGCTCGCATTACATGTAGATGTACCTACGCACGCACGCACGCGCGGGCGTACACGTATATGCCTCCATATGGCTTATAAACCTACGCGCGCGCCCACACACCGCATGCGAACGCGCGTGTGTATATAAACTTTTATTAAATGCGAAACCAGTCGCCCGATTTACGGTGAAACCGGTTTTCCTTGTCCAACGAGCAAACAACACAAGTAAACCTAAGAAGGATCCTATAGCTAGAGCATTCGATTTATCTCTTT